TAGCCATGCGGGCGAAGGGCCCCGTCCGAGGGCCGGTGCTGGCGAAACGTCGCCTTGGCGGCGCGCAGGAACACCCCCACCACCGCCCGCGCCGTGCCGTGGTCGAGGTAGTGCTCGCCCACCCACTGCAGAAGGGCGTGGTGCAGGAGATCGAGCAGGACGACTTCCACGCAGAGCCGCGCCGGCTCCGGGCTGAGGCCCGCGTCCGCCGCCGACGCCTCCGTCTCGAACCGCCCGCGCTTAGGGGGGGAGGGGCCTCCCCCGTCCGAGCCCCCCGCGCGCGCGGGGAATTCGACCCAGCCATCCTCCTCCAGCCGCTTCGCCGCGCGATAGAGTTCGCTGGAGGAAAGGGCCCCCCGACGCTCGCGCGCGAGCCGGACCGCGGCATCCCACGGAATCAACGCGAGCTGGCGAAGGATTAACACAATAACTTCGCCCGCCTCACCGTACCGCGCGCGCGCGGTTTGCGCGATGAGAGGATAAAAAACATGTAAAAAAATCCCACAGCCGAGGGAGAGCGCGTAGCCGCGGGTTTCCGCGTCGTACACGATGACGCGATGAAGAACAAGGCGCGTGACGAGCTCCTTTATCGCGGCATCCGTCAGAAGCGCGAGGCTATTATTATTTTTATTATTAGTGCGAGTGATTTTCCCGCTTTTCGAAGGATTTGAAATCTCAGTTGTGGAAGGAAAAACGGCATCTTCGGAGAGGTAAAGGGCGCTGCGCACGTCACGGGCGTCAAGAGCGTGCAGGACTTGATTTTGATTGTTCTCCCCTTTCGGCAGCACCGCCTCTGCAAGCTCTTTGAGCGTGAGTTGGCTGTGGTCTCGTAGTACATGAATAATCTTCCCAGCAACAGCCCCTAGCTGGCAAGAAATAACATGTTCTAGAATAATATAATGGGAGTTGAGGTTGGTGAGGGTATCTGCCTCTGGTGAAGTGGCAATCATTTTAGTTTCTTTTTTTTGTGTGTGTATGTGGGGGGAGTTCTATTCCCGTGAATCTATATATACTCCCTGAACTCAAGTAACACAAATGGTACTTTATTATCCTTCTTTCGTGGATATGGAAACCTACTTGAGTGAGGATAAAGAGAATCATGAAAAAAAGGAAAATAAATAAAAAAACTATTTTCATTATTCCGAAGCACTTCTTTAGATTTGAAACGTATTATTTGTAATTTTTATCACACTTTCCAAGAAGAAAAAAAGAAATCTGAGAATACTATTATTGTCAAGTATTTAAGTTAGCATCCAATATGGTATCTAAGAATAGGGCATCGCAGTAATAAAATTTTGATCTAGCGATATGAACTGCACATCCCGGATTTTATTGTTGGTCTCTTGAACGGACTAATGATTAATTGATTTTTTTGTCACGTTAAGAAAAGAGGAATTATTCTTTTATTATTTTCCACTCTTCAACTACTTCTCAAAATATTTTATCTATATTCTTTAATCGCCATCAATAAAAGTACTTAGTAAAACTCTATTTCCTTCCTCCCTTTCACAGGGGTTTTCGTCGCAAGTTCATACCACTAACCCAGACTTAGTGATACCAATAAGATGAACTTAAAAAAAGCTTTGTGAATCAAGGAG